TATTGGACATGCAAGGAATTTGTCTCAGGTGCATAAGCTCTTGGTGTGCATACTATGAATTCCACTATGTCATGGAAAAATTGTTTGGTACCATTTCTGCTGGATTGCATTGCCTCTCTTGGTGCCCAGGACCTATATCTCATTATAATGTGTAATTTGTTTTGTCTTTTACACTGTTTTGGGCTTAACGGTATATTTGATCAGAAAATGCTGACAAAACGTGGGCTTGTTGGCTTCCCTTTTATCTCCTCACTGCTTGGCAGGCAGTTGGTTCAGAGAGATAAATGCTTTCTCATTCAAACGGTTAATTAGCCTGCATACATCACTGTCCTTAATGGTGTTGGCTGCTGCCTCCAACATGCTCAGGTCACCTTCTCTACAGAGGGCCAAGGCCTTTGCTGGAAACCTCAGTGGACTCTTAGAAACAGGGAAAAGAGTGGGGTGGAATTCAGCTTAGCTCCCAGCAAAAGAAATTAGTCAGTTAACCAGATTACTCTCCATTGAGGCTGATGTTCATTTCAACAATTAAAATGTAACATCACACAGACAATTCTTAACACATTTTTCATCCCCCTGGTGCTTCAACAGAAGGCTAACTAGTGAGAAATGAATTTATTCTGTTCCCTTTGTCATGGTTTCTTCTCTTCAGTCATTAGTTTATTTGTTCCAAAAGTAAGACATCAAAGGAGGAATAAGTTGGTCTAGGATTACTAGTTGAAGCACTGGAAAAGAAAATGCAGGACTGAATCATAAGACAGGGAACTGCAGTTAATGAATTCAGTCTAGCTTCCCTCTTACTTTCCCAGCTTAGCCCTGATTCATAAGATCCTATTGATATTATGTACTGTATTTACCTTCTTCCCATACAATAAAGTCACAAGCAAAGAATCTCCAGTCTATCCTACTTTAAGCCAGACCAATATTTTTAGCGCACACCTCCCCTCATTATACCTAATTGTTCATTCCAAACACAGGTAGAGAATCCCTAGGCATTCTTGCCTACTTCAAGGCTGAGAAAGGGAGGATCAAGCCTGGATTTATCTTCTATCAAGCGTTACTTCCCCACTTCACAGGCATTCTCCAGGTCAACACAGATTGCATGAAATAGTTTTTACAAAAGCCAGAGATAAGAATTTAATGAGCTTGAGGTTCAATGCATATGAAGTCAGCAGCAGCAGCAGGAGACATTACCTATCATAAATTATACCAAGCTGTAGTTTCTCGATTAAGTCATAAATAACATTAAACCCCTATGAAGGGCTCACAAACTGCATTCTAAACTGGAAACCAACAAAGCCATATTATGTGTAAAATGTGAATTCCAGCGGTGTTATAATCAGTTTAGTTTCATTTACTTCAGCATTTCGGATGTATTATAAATGAAACTTTATTTCTTCATTCCTTAAATTGATATGCTCCTCACCCTCAGAGGAACTTAGTGGCTAACAGCCAGGAACTTCATTTTAAAAAGTCCTCAATAAAAATGATACCCCCATTAGAAATCTCAACAGCATCATAAAAGATTAAAAATAGATATGCAAAGTCATGTGTATGCATTCTGACATTCAAAACATTTCTTCCTCCTGAGCTAGATGGAAGCGCCAGCTCAACTTCTCATCTATAACCCAAGAAGGAATCTCCATACGGAGAGAATTCCATAAGCTGGGACAGTGACTGGAAATACTTGTTTCCTAAATTTCATTAGATGATAGGTAAGCTGGATCTGAAGATAATTGGCCCTGTTTGATCTGACTGGACAAACAAATGAATGTTGGATGTGTATAACCAAGTCTAGTTATTCAGCCTTATTCAAACCTATTCAGAATATGAATTTTGGACCATTTATCTATATAAATAAAAATGTAAATGTTCGTTTGTTCAAAATCTTAAATCTCCGAATGTTTTTCACCGATTGCTTTGAAATTTTGACACAACGTTGCATTCGAATACGCGCATGTTTTTATATACCTACTATTATATAGATGTCACACCTGTGACAGGTAAAAACATGCTTTTTTTGAAAAACAGCGCCATCTGTTGGACGTAAATTTAACCAGACTGAGCCACAGCAACGCGTGGCCTGGTACAGCTAGTTCATTAATAAATTCATTACTCAATTACTTATTTATTTTATTAATTTATTTATTAATTGCATTTATATCCCGCCCTTCTCCTTTCGGACTTTTTGTGTTTTAAAACACAAAACCTAACCAAGAATTAAGAGCTTGCCAGAATTTCAGGGGGGGGGGAGGGAGGACTACAAAAAAAATCTGGAGACAGTGATAGTTATCAACTATTATGAGCAAAAGCATATAAAATTGAGCTTTAAAGTTAATCTTAACCCAACAGAAAATAGAAAAAATAATTATTTTGTTTTATTTTTAAATTTTTATTTGGTGTCAAGAATCACTTGGTGAGATGGGTGGCCATACAAAACAAACAAATTAAAAAATTACTGGTCATGTATCATTTCATTTTATTATTTACTTATTTTATTTGTATACCCCCAACAACTCGGGGAGGTTAACAGGTACAACATAGGAAACAAAAACAATAGTAAAACCAGGGAACAAAAGATAACTTCAAATCAGCACCAAAGCCTTCAACTTGCAAGCAAGGTAGTTGACTAAACAAGTAAAGCAATAAGTCGAGAATGGCCAGGACCAACATTAATCACTTAGTCTGGTAGCTGCCAGATATCATTTAAAAACTCAGTGGTCTCAAAGAATATACTTTATTGATGAGCTATGGGCAGTTTGCAAAAGACATTATTAGAACCCATAATTTTATATGGACCCTTACAATGTCTCTGCTGCATAAGTAAGGTCAGAACACCATTACTGCCATTCTTTGCAAAACTAAAAATAGACCTTATGTGTAAGCCCTGAGGATACCCTCTTGATAAATAAATTCAATAAATAAATAAATAATAAATAAAATAAATAAATCAGCGGTGTCAAACTGCCGGTCCACGGGCCGGACACGTCACGCAGAAGCCGCGCCCACCCCATTGCCGGCAATGGCAAAACATTCCCGATATGTTGCACGACATCATGTGATGTCGTGAGTTTGACATGTCTGCTCTTGATTAATCAATTTGCATGTCAAACCTGGAGAACAAATGACATAAAATGGCATTTTTCTGGCTGTTCTACAGCTATGGGACTTTCTTCCCACCCAGAAACTCATCAGAGATTTGAGTGTTTGAACAAAAGGTTATAAATAGCTATTTAGCAAACAAGGGCCTTGTCTCGTGCCTTTGAACTGTTGATATACTGTATATTACAGACTGTAGTTGCAATTCCAATTTCTATTTAAATATGTGCTAACATCAATTCAAGCTGCCATTCTTATTGAGCCCTAAGGAAAGAGCAGGCCAAAAATGGGATGAAGAAAAGAATATTAAAAACAATCACACAGATTCTAAATACTCCCCACCCTCCCAGCTGCATCTCCTCGGTTGACAAATCTTCTGGAAGAACATCCAATCTACTTCAGGGCAAGGGATATTATCTTCTGTCCCTTGTGTTCAGATCTTTGGTTACCCTGGACTGGTCTATCAGGAAGGTGAGATCTGTTGGATCAATTTGTCCAGGAGCCTTATGGATCCTGTTGGTTTACAGAGAATGGTTGGGGAGTTTTCTGAGATTGTGGTGGGCTGTTAAACGGAGATTTTAGTCAATTCTTGGAATGAATGAAGGGTGACAGCCCTTCATTGGATTGCTCTTAAGTAGCATCTCTTTGTCTATCAATGCTAAATGCCTCTTGGTTTACTGAGGAGCTCTAGGAAATGAAGCAATAGAAAAGACATCTATGACATTGTTGGAGAAAAACTGGGAGTGAGTCTGATTAGACATCCACAAGACTTTAGATTAAGGTGTATCTTATGGCAGTAAGAACAATAAAACATGATTTTTTCACTCTTAGCATATCTGCAATGTGCCACGCAACTGACCATATTTGGGGTGAGCTGTACTTTTTTAGGAAGGGAATGTCTTGATGAACATCTTAAAGAGATGCTGTGAAGACCACACTAGGTTTCTATAGATATAATAGATTATTATTTCTGACTAGGTGAATCCTATTGAAGTGGGTTAAGCTCTATTATCTAGGAGGAATTTGAGCCTACGAGTCTTGAGGAACTGCATACCGTGTTTCCCTGAAAGTAAGGCCTATCCCGAAAATAAGCCCTAGCTTGATTTTTGGGGGTGGGCCTAATATAAGCCCTGCTCCCAAAATAAGCCCTAGTTTTGGGGTGAGGCACACACCTAAAAATCAAGCTAGGGAGGGGGTGGAGATATAAAACTGCCCTACACCCTCTACCCACCTACCTGACAGCCAGTCATCTCCTCGCAAGTACACTTCTTCTGCGGTGTCTTCTGCAGCCATGCCTGCATTTCTCAATCACAGGCTTTTCTGGAAGACCACTGCAGCAGAGAACTGAGCTATGATTGAATCTATAGCTCAGTATTTGGCTGCAGTGGTCTTCTGGAAAGGCCTGACTGCAAAATGCAGGCCGGAGCTCCATTCTGAGCTTCAGAATGAAGCTGCTCCTTCGGCTGCAGAAGAAGTGGGCTGGCTGGGTGGGGCTGCAGGTGCCAGAGGTGAATATAAAAGACACCCCCCCTACAAAAATAAGACCTAATGCCTCTTTTGGAAGCAAAAAAAAAAAAAAAAGACCCGGTCTTATTTTCGGGGAAACACGGTAGGATTTTCTGAACTGTGAGTGAAAGTCAATCAGTCATTCAAAGTAGGTAGGATCAAGAAATAGAAACAGCAAGGATTCCAAGGATGCATTTCATTGCCATAGGGTAGAATAATAGAATCTTGAAAGCCTGTCAGAGTTTCTCTCTGCTCTTTCTCTTACCAAAAAAGATTAAGGCAGGAATATTTTGAGTTTCTTTCTCACACTTTCCACTTTATTAGGACTGAGTTATCTTTTGTTTTTCTGTCAGTGATTCATTGCTCCCTTTCTCCTTTTGAAGGCCAAATCCAGATCCTTTAGATCCATGTTTCTTCTGACTGGTCAAATCCACCTGGGAGATAACACATGGTTAGGTCCAGGTGGCAATGAATTTATCTTTGAAAGAGGCAGTGATATGCCCCTTCCTTGTCACTAGCCTCAATTACACTGGATAATTTTTATCCAGTCTCCAAACTCCCATGGGGAAGCATCACCATCAGATGGATTAGTAACTGGCTGACCAATCACACTCAACATGTAGTCCTTAATGAATTTGCATTTACATGGAGGGAAGTATGCAGTGGGCTACCTCAAGGCTCAGGCCCAGTACGCTTCAATATCCTCATAAATAATTTGGATGAGGGGATAGATGGGGAACTCATCAAATTTGCAAATAAGCTGGGAGGAATAGCCAACACTCCAGAAAATAAGCTGAAGATACAGATGGATACAGACTTGAACACTGGGACATATCTAACAAAATGAAATTCAATGATGAGAAAAGTAAAGTTATACCACTTAGGTAAGAAAAACCAAATGCACAGATACAGAATAGATAGTACTGGCTCAATAGTAGTAACTGTGAGAGGGATCTTGGAGTCCTAGTGAACAATCACTTAAATATGAGCCAGCAGTGTGCTGCAGCTGCCAAAAAATCTAACACAGTCCTAGATTGCATTAACAGAGGAATAGAATCCAGATCATATGAAATGTTAATACCACTTTATAATGCCTTGGTAAAACCACTTTTGGAAGGTTGCATCCAGTTTTGGTTGCCACAATATAAAAAAGATGCTGAGATTCTAGAAAGAGTGCAGAGAAGTGCAGCTAGGCTGCATTAACAGAGGGATAGAATCAAGATCACATGAAGTATTAATACCCCTTTACAATGCCTTGGTAAGGCCACACTTGGAATACTGCATCCAGTTTTGGTCACCACGATGTAAAAAAGATGTTGAGACTCTAGAAAGAGTGCAGAGAAGAGCAACAAAGATGATTAGGGGACTGGAGGCTAAAACATATAAGGAACGGTTGCTGGAATTGGGTATGTCTAGTTTAACAAAGAGAAGGACGAGGGGGGNGAAACTTCCTGACAGTTAGAACAATTAACCAGTGGAACAATCTGCCTCCAGAAGCGGTGAATGCACCAACACTGGAAGTTTTTAAGAAGAAACTGGACAGCCATTTGTCCAAAATGGTATAGGGTTTCCTGCCTGAGCAGGGGGTTGGACTAGATGACCTCCAAGGTCCCTTCCAACTTTATCATTATTATTATTATTATTAAAGAGATGATTAGGGACTGGAAGCTAAAACATATAAAGAACCATTGCTGGAACTGGGTATGTCTAGTTTAATGAAAAGAAGACTAAAGGTGACATGATATTTGTGTTCCAATATTTGAGGGGCTGCCACAAAGAAGCGGGGGATCAACCTGTTCTCCAAAGCACCTGAAGGTCGGACAAGAAGCAATGGACAGAAACTAATCAAGGAGAGAAACAACTTAGAAATAAGGAGAAATTTACTGACAATTAATCGGTGGAACTGCTTGCCTTCAGAAGTTGTGGTTGTTCCATCACTGGAGATTTTTAAGAAGAGATTGGATAGCCATTTGTCTGACATGCTTGAGCAGAGGGACTAGAAGATCTCCAAGAACTCTTCCAATTCTGTTACTCTGCTTTCTTTGGGGTAATTCCACTCAATAGTTCCACTTGGGGGCTAATTCCACCTTTCCTTGTAGAAAGGGAGAGATGGAACTTTAGGTTCGTTGTTTGGATCTCTTATTCCTATTTAATCTTAACCTATTCTTATTTAACATCTACCAGGGATTATTGGGTGAGGGCATGGAGTCAGGTATCATCAGTATACTGATTTGTACACTTGTATATTTTGTACATCTTGATCCCTGGCCATCCAGGCAATGTTATCAATGTGCTGTCCCAGTACCTGGGGTCTGTTAGGTTGTAGAAGGGGAGTTTAACCTTACCCAGGCCATGTTGATTTTCACAGAGCCCACTGAGCACAATCAGAAATGCTCTGTATTCTTGTCCAAACATACCCCCTTCTCTCTCCAATAGGCACGACATTCTTTGGGGCATTTATTTATAAAAAGTGTTATTTCTAACTTTAGAAAGCATGCAGAGTATAATTTCTGTAGAATATAAACTATTTTGAGAATTCATTCATTCATTTGTTCATTTAATTTCTATAGCTGCCTAGCTCGGTCAATGACTATGAATGAGTCAATGAACTACCTAAGTGCTACAAGGTAGTCTCTGAAGTGGTCATGATGCTTCAGGTTTTTCAAATTATATTCTATAATATTCAAATAATGAATATATTATCATTGCTAATAATGAATATAATTGTTCATGACTAGGAATAGCAAGTTGGAGAGTGCACAACAAGTAAGTGAATAACTAATGAATTTGTTTTCTACTGTTACTCACCCAATGTGGTTTGTTCTCAGGGATATCTCTAATTCCCGAAGAACCTGGGTAGATTCTTGAACTCGTCTCTTAAACTGGGTAAAGAAAGCAAATCAAATCCCGTAGAAATTACAAACCTGGCATATATTTATCTACCTGTGACTTACTTATGAATTATATAATAATCCTGGGTTTGAAAAAGTTATCTAGGCATCAATGGGAAATAATATAGATACCACAAGGAATTTCAGACTATGAGCATGCCTTGCAATCAATAGTGAATTACAAAACAGTTCTTTTGCTGGTTGCATTTTCATATTGATTGCAGGCAGATTATGGTTATGAGCAAAGAAAAATCATAACCCAGAAAGCAAATAAAAATACTCCAAATAAAGGCATCTGTTCAAATAAAGCCTATGGCTCAAATTTTAAATAACTAAGGCTATAGGAACTGTGAGTTTCTGGCAGGTATATCAAGGCATTCAATTCATTCAAAAGAGATACATTTTTATTATTAAAATGTGATCTATCTCTTCAACATAAGGTTGTCTGCGCATTTCCTATTTTGCTCACATCACAATAATTCCTGCAAATTATACTTCCATGTGTCTGGCCAGATCCAGAAAGAAATACTGTGCATGCCATTGCCAGTCTATCTTTTGTGTTAGATGCACAAAATAATATAATATAGAATATGTAAATGTGCTCTCCCCCACATCCCACACCCCTATCAGGCCTTTAGCATCACTGGCTCTGTGTAAAGGATCCTGTGACTGCATTTCTTTTTCAATAATGCTCATTGTATTTTATCTACAATTACTTTTATTGTTTGCAATCTAATGAAGGATTGTTACTCTGAAATACAAATAACTGCAGTAAATAAATAAATAAATTTGTAACTGCAAGCAGAGTAGTAATTTCTACTCATTCGGGAAATCAAAAATCTTTTTAAAAATCCAGTTGTATTTGTTTACTGAAGATTTTTGTTTGGTTGTTTTTGCTCTGTTTTACCTAAAAGTAAAATCAGTCTTGGGGAAGAAAACTATGATAATCAGCTGCTAATGGTTTGTCAGCAAAAGGACATCTTTTTTAGTTTTACTATATATAAAATTAGATAGCCTGTGTCTCATAGGCTCATCTTTTCAGAGATATTTCCTTACTAGATTCCCTCTATGGCTCAATTATGACAGAATATCTAATTATTGCCTTCACTGGAAAAAGCTGGAATATATTCAGAGATGTGTCTGCCTTGAAAATAGCCCATGCTGAACTGTGTAGCACAAACATCAGCACAGGAAATGTTTTATGATATTTTGTATTATGTCATAAAGTGTTTTATTATTATTTTTATGTCATAAAATGTTTTATAAAGTTTGCCACATTTGAAATCTACAGTAATTACAGGTCCAAGATTTTGGACACATTCTGTAAGTTAGTCCATTTGAGATACATTGGTTTCAAAATTATTGCCCTATGATGCAGCATTTTGCCAGGTTAAAGGTGATGGGAATGAATGTTTTAGAGATATATAGATTTCCAGTTGAGAGAGAATAGAAAGAACAGGAAAGTAATTATGGGAGGCAGAGAATATGAAATGGCCATATTAGCCACAAGTTACCTTTCCACTGAATCCACCTGTGTCTAGATAGCTCTTCAATTTCTGGATATAGGCAGATGGTGGGTTCTTGACCTGGAATCGTTCCTATGGATAGACACAGATGGGGTGGAAGAAGAGAAACAACACATTTTTTTCATTAAATCCATAAGGAATAGAGGTGGTTCTGAAAATGCAAACATGTTATGAGGATGTGCAAGTTAGGTATATCTTTTTATCTATTTTTGTGGAAGATGCTTTGGAGACAATTGTTAAACATAACCAAAATTACAAATATTGCAGGTGCTTCTGGGCACAGCACTAGCAGCCTTTAGCTGCCAGATGTAAATGTTTATGCATCAGGCTAAACTGCGAAAGTATAAAAAGTAACACGAGAGAAAAAAAGATATCTCAATATTCAAAGGCATTGGATATATTCTGGCCTGTTGAAGTTTAGAAAACTCCAATTTTATAGCCCAGCCATTACAGGTAGTCCTCAACTTATGACCACAACTGAACCCAAAATTTCTGTTTCTAAGTGAGTCAGTTATTAAGTGGGTTTTGTCAGATTTTACAATCTTTCTTGCACAATTGTTAAGTGAATCACTGCAGTTGTTAAGTTAGTAACACTGTCAAGTAAATCTGGCTTTCCCATTGACTTTGCTTGTCAGAAGGTCACAAAAGATGATCCTGTGACCATGGGACACTGCAACCGTCATAAATATGAGTCAGTTGCCAAGTATCTGAATTTTGATTAGGTGACCATGGGGATGCTGCAGTATGAAAAATGGTCATAAATGTGAAAAATGGTCATAAGTCACTTTTTCAATGCTGTTGAGATTTTGAATGTCACTAAACAAACTGTTGTAAATTGAGAACCACCTGTACATATATGCTCCCCTATCACAACAATACCCTTTTCTTAAAACGCTTTAGTCTGCAAATGTATACTTTGGAATGTGCTATACGAAGTTCTATGGTTTTCACCCAACTTTGGTCATTGGAAACTGTAAACCTTAAAGAATCTGTGGATCTGTAGAAAGAGGTTGCAGATAATCCTTTTCATACACACTATTTAAATGTATAACTCAAATCAAATTAGTCCTGTGTAAGTCATCCCTGCTTCTTCTTCCCATAATAACTGCATTGCATCACCCTGTGCCACAATATGACACAAGGTTTCACAAGAGTTATGGTGCACTGCCTCCTGTTCTTACTGTTTGAAGCATAAGTGCTAAAATATTTACTTCAAAAGATTCTGCAATAATTAGAGGACACATTGTTAATATTGTACCAATTTAAAACCTGGGGGTGTGAATGAATGAATGAAAGTGTCTAAAAAGTAGAGTAAGGCAGGAGTGTCCTCAGAGTATGGTAAAAGCTTCTACTTTATTGTAGCAGTTACCATTTTGGGTTTTTTTTACCACTCTCTGCAGATGTCCCTGGAGCAGTTCAAGAAAAAAATGAGAGAGATGACAAGGTGATGTGTATATGTACATACATGTTAAAAAAAAGGATTGTTCTTGTATGTGCATGTGGACTAATGCTTTTTGGATGATGTGTTTGACAAGGAATTTTAATTCTATATATTTCTGATAGTTTTGCAGACTCTAGGGCTAAAATATTGGCCTGCAAAAATGTCAGTGATCAAAAGCATTCATCTTGACTTTTGTAGCCTGGGACCCGAGGTCTAAGAAATACAAAAAATTCAAAAACTCAGAGCTGCTTCCATCTGTAAAAATGGGGATGCTGCTTTCAGCCTGTCTTTTGAATCCATGAAAGAACCACTTTCCCTTACAAGCAGATGATCCCGAGATGGCAGTGGCGGGGCAGGAAGTGATGTTAGGATTGTGGTGGATATAGGTAGTCCTCAACTTACAATCATTCGTTTAGTGACTGTTCAGAGTTACAACAGCACTGAAAAAAAGTAACATGATCATTTTTCACACTTACGACCATTGCTACATCTCCAAGTGATCAAAATTCAGACGATTGACAACAGGCATGTGTTCATGATAGTTGCGGTGTCCCGTGATCATGTGATCATGCGATCCTTCTGCTGACAAGCAAAGCCAATGGGGAGTCAGATTCAATTAACAATTGTGTTACTAACTTTACAACTACTTGATTCACTTAACTGTGCCAAGTAAATTTGTAAGATTGGGGAAAACGTAACTGTCTTGCTTAGCAATGGAAATTTTGGGCTCAATTGTAGTCATAAGTCGATGATGACCTGTAATTAGAAGCCGTTCAACATATGTATCTATGTTATATAATCATTATCTACCCCTTGAGGTAAATGCTTTAACTCATGGCAGAGCTGCCTCTATATATTTGTTCCATTTTACTGTGAGCTACACTTTGTATTCACTGCCATTTTTCATTAAGAATTTCATTTACAACAGAACAGCATAATTAACAAGGTTGCCTGGGTGGCTGTATGCATAACATATTGTTGTTGTTGTTCAGTCACTAAGTTGTGCCGAACTTTTTGCAATCCCATGGACCATAGCACACCAGGCTCCTCTGTCCTCCATCGTCTCCAGAGTTTGCCCCAATTCATGTTCATTGCATTAATGCATACCAGATACTAAGCTTAATTTGAAGTAGGACACAGGGGTTATTTATTTAATGGTTTAACTGATCTGTATATTCACTCCTTACTAATCCAATTGGGGTTAATATATTGTGAGTTAAATGTGCTGTGGCACCCTTTATATCTTCCCAATCAAAGAGCAACAGCAACATCTCTACAACCCACACTGCCACTTCCTGTATGATTCATGATAAATGAAGGCCAAGCTTTTTTTTTTTATCCATCATTCAGGTGTATTTGTTGTGAGCTAAAGCAGACACTAATAGGTTCCACTTCACAAGGGTCCTATGACTTGATTTCATTCAAACACAGAAGAGCGAGTGAGATATTTTCTTGATTCTTAACTGCCCACTCAATAAACACCTTAAGATTATTTTCTGGAGTAAAAGGGCATTTGGAAATCGCCCTGTGCCAGAGCTGTTTTAGCAGGTCTGTGAAGACCTGGATCACACAGACACATTCACATAGCCCAGAATGAGTCATTCTCCTCTTTTTCTGTTCAGCATCATTCGCAAGGCTGTGCCTTTATTAAACTGAGGAATATATAGTTTCACAGCATGAACAGGTGCCATTCCCCCTCCCCCTCCTGCCAACAGCTTGTTTTCACAAGGGAACCTTAAGTAACCACCTTCCTTGTTTAACTCAGGATGGAGAAAGACTGTTTCTCCACCACTACTAAACTCATGAAGGCAACTCAAAAGAAGGAACAGCAGTTTGTTATGACACACCCCACTTTCATATTACCCATTTAGTTCTGGCAGGATTTTGAAATGTTTCAACCAAGGTGATAGTGGATTTTTTTTTTACTAGGTTCATATCACAGTATGGCTTCTTTAGTTTTGGCTTAGCAGAAAGTGTGAACTTTGCAAACAATGGTTTAGACAAAAAAACAATTTAACATTAAAATGAGCCCACTGAAAAATGCTTCTTTTGACACCACTTTTGGTTCATCTTGCTAGGTACAAACAGACCTAAAGCTAGAGTTATCCCTCCCCACACACACAAAGTCATTGTTTTTCCTGCCATGTAGTAAACCTGGTTTAGTGCTCTGAAAAACAGATGTACTTCCCTTTAAACCAAATGCAGTGCAGTGAGATTTGATTGAGAGGCTGAAATCTGCCCAATCACCTAGCAGATCTCTTGAATTTACACTTTTGCCCTTATTCAAATAGCTAAGGAAAGCATGTGATCAGGGATAAAATCATGCCTATTTCTTCTATCCAAAATAAATTTCTGTGGACACCTGCAGGACAAATTGGTTTCCCTAAAAAATTAGATGCTTACAAAGAGCATGACAGAGTACATGATGAATGCAACCAGGCTCTCATATATTGGTCTTTTGAATATATTACATTGTTCAAAACCTAAGCTACTTGTATTAGGGCATCAGCTCTGAACTTCTGGATGTTTGTTGTCCTGCCACAGACCTACTTAATTTTTCTTTTCTGTTTCCTGTGGGAAAGCAAAGATAGAAACAGCCCTGTTTATCCTGTCTTCTCAAGGACAAACTACACTAGATTTCCAAATATACTGAACTGCCACAGGTGTCCTATCAAGGAACTCTGACATTTATCATGTTAGGACAGAGCTAAAACAAACATAATTATAGTACTATCCACAACACCAAAAATGCTTGTGGAATATTTCTCAGCGCCTATAAGCTCTCTTGCCCAAATCTTATTTTTTAGAACCTTTATTAAAAAATAAATAAATGAATGGGAAGCTGTCAAGTTGCAAACTATAGTTACAGACTTTTGTATAGCCTTTTGTTTGGAAATACATCTTTACCTATTAAGAAAACAGGAAAGATAAATTTAGGTGGGGCTAGAGAGTACCTAAAGCTCTACTGGCAACAGTGGTGGGATTCAGCCAGTTTGCACTGGTTTGGCAGAACCGGTAGCTAAATTTTGCTGAGTTCGGAGAACCGGCTTAATGCACAGTGCTTCCAGAAGTCCATTCTAGGCCTCGGAGGTCTGGAGGAAGCCTCCCAGGCCTAGAATGGCCCACCGGAAGTAAATGGATGCCACTTCTGGAAGTTTGTTCTAGGCCTCAGAGGCCCAGGTCTGCATCCAATAAGAGAACCAGTTTTTCAGGTATTTGAATCCCACCACTGACTGGCAACTGCAAGAAATAAATTCATCACTTTTTATTTTTTTAACTTTACAATAAATAGGTATTTTGCTACAAGTCCTCCTTCTATAATAGCCACAGAATACTTTAGAAGATTGCCTACTTGTCATCAAAGGATCAAAAATGATCGTCAGACACAGAAACTACAACTCCCAGAATTCTCAGATGTATGAGAAGCTTTGAATATTAAACCACATTGGAAACTATTTTAAATTATGATTCCTATAGTTACTTTAAATATACCATTCTGGTCTCTTACCTGGTCACATATTAATTCCCATTTCTTTTCATTATCATACTGACTCAGGAGCTTCATTTTGTCTGGTGGCAGATTCATAGAATTCTAAAAAAAGAGAGAATATTGTTTATACAGAATAATTGCATAACAAGAATTGTGATATGTTCAACCATGTAAAGTTCTTAATGCAGGTAGTCCTCGACTTACAATCACAATTTGAGCTCAAAATTTAAGTTGCTAAGGAAGACATTTGTTAAGTATGTTTTGCTCAATTTTACAACCTTTTTGCCATGGTTGTCATGTGAATCACTATAGTGGTTAAGTTAGTAACATGGGTATTAAGTGAATCTGGCTTCTCCATTAACTTTCTTTGTCAGAAGGTTGCAAAAGGTAATCACATGATCCTGGGACATTGTAACTGTCATAAATACAAGCCAATTGGCAAGCAGCTGGATTTTGATCATGTGACCATGGGGATCTTGCAATGGTCACAAGTGTGAAAAATGGTCATAAGTCACTTTTTTCAGTGCCACTGTAACTTTGAACAGTCACTAAATGAATGGTTGTAAGTTGAGGACTACTTGTAATACTGGAGGAAAAAGGCAAGGCAACGGGAGAACAATTTGAGGATACACATGTAGTCATGACTTTCATCTTGATTTTTTTGACTCTACCCCCTCCCCCCATGTCTCTACTTTGAATAGTACAAGGGCCCATTTGTAGTGAGTTACTCCCATTCACTGTTTTTCTCCAGTGCTCCCACAACTTGTTCATCAAAGTTTCCTATAAAACTATACTTTTCTTAATTCATTTTCTTTATCTATTTTTTATCAGACAGCTACAGATGTACTCCATGTTAGGAGATCTTCTGTAGAGATTCTTTGCTCTGTGTCAGCAGCTTCTGATACTTGGGGGTGGGAGGGGGGAAGAGAGCCTGAATTTGAGGGGAGGGGAATTCCACTTCTTATGGTTATTTCCTCTAAGGATTTTTTTTTTGTACTTCTGAAAATGTTAGAATTGGTATTTTCCTCTTCTATATGGATGATGCCATTTTGGGCTTATGATAAGAGGCTCATACATAAACATCAATTTTAACATAAAATAATCAGTTCTGTATAGGGCCAATAACATATAGCCAGGGGCTAGTGGTTGATTGATGGGGAGAAAGGAATAATGTAAATGCAGAGGGTGCAGAATCATTTCCAGAGATCATTTTAAGAACAATTTTAAAAAATCTGGGTCCTCTAGTCTAAACTGTATGATCTGAGTATATATTTTTCCATTTTTATTGTGAGCTTCCCAGAGTCTGTAATTGGGACAGCAGTTATATGCTGTGAAATACATAAATACTATTTGACAAAGGTTCTAAGTTGTTGCACTTTAATTGTGCCTTTGATTTATAGCTAATATAAAAAAGTTTTCCTATATTCAGTTGGAGGTACATTTACAAGATGGCCAGAAACATCCCCAGTTATAATTACATCAACTCTCAACTAATAAAGTTCAAGAACTTCTCCCACTTATTTCTACTTTCTACTTGAGTTAGAAGAATATCTGCACTGCAATATGGAAATTTCATTCAATGGAAATTAAACTTTCCTTGGGATGACCTGGTAAATCAAGTCTACTAATAGTCACATGCTACTCAGAAGGCCTGGCTCATTGTACAAAAGCCTGGTTGCCCAAATAATGCTCATATTCATGGACTGCTGTGTTCCTCTTTTGCTTCAACATAAAGAACAACAACAAAAAAGAAGTCTTTGGCTCCTTGTGATTATGCTTGAATGAAATCAGCATGTATTTAGAGGAGATTATCTCAGTGGCAGGAAGTTGCAAGCTGGCTGTGCGTTTGGTTCTTGCAACCATTCTTTCTCAACCTGTTCTCATTTCCCTTACAACTTGCTGATTGAACCATTCCACATAGGATAGAAAAAAAGACCAGTTTTCTTAACAACAAAAAACACTAATAAAGGCAAATATTTGTAGCTCAGCCTTGAAATTAGGGGATCTTGATGCTTTCTGAGCTTGTGCTAATGACTGATGATGTTACCTAGTTTGGTTAATGAAACAACTGTAAAAAAGCAAGCCAGCTCTGAGAGCACAAAGGACCCTCCCCCTCAGAAACACTAAATTAAATAAAAAACATCCTTGATCAATGAATAACAACATCCATGTGAAAAAAATGTTCTTGACATCCAATATAGATTTACCAAATCAACTACTTTGAGTTGTAATTATCTCAAATTATAATTAATTAAGCTCCTAGTTTAACACTATCTTAGTCCTTTTGCTTGATTTGAGATTGCCTAAATATAGTCTGCAAGTAAAATGAACTATCAAGAGAAAAAATACTGAAAGGTATCCAACTTCTTAAAGCAGCTAGTGATGTACAAAAATAAATCTCTTTATTCTAGGACTGCTAATTTTATTTATGATCCTATTGTAACATTTTTGAATGCAGATCCACGAAAACTTTGGCATCTGAGTCCCAGAAATGAACATGTTAGCACTTTCAAACAATTGCAAACATTGGAAAGTAGTGTTGCCCTCATAAAAGCTATGCTAATCTATTTTAAGGAAGATGCATTCTTGTATAGCCTTCATAAGATACCAAGGTTGAAATTTTGGGGTGCCCCAGCTCCTATTTCCAAAAACTCACATAGGTCATTTTGAAAACATTATTATTTTTTTACTCAGTAATAGCCATTTTTATTATCTTGAGAATTTCCTGTTAAACCCCTGACGAACAGTTGTTATTTTGACCATTCTGTTTATAACTATTCTGGATTATTTTCAAAGATAGTTTCATTCGGGTTGCCTAAGTGTTGATGCCAGACTTTGCCTGTCCAGTTCCAGCTGCATCTATTGTATGAGCCTGACATGATCAAATATACTCCTAGCTTAGGAGCAAAGGCCACCTATATCTCCACTGACAATGATAGATTCAGAAACATCTTCTAAAAGATAGACTATTTCTCCAAACCAGGTTAAATACCATCTAGGTAGAAGCTGAAAAATTACAACATTCATCTTGCCTCAGCTGCAGATCTAGTTTATTGCCCCTCAACCAATCTATTATTCTGTTTGGACATCAATTCAGGACATCACGTAGCTAAGACAAAAAGAGATAAAACTACATGTACTCAATATAGCGGATACCTAAGTAATCTGCTTACGGTTAATCCTCAATTTGCACACATTCAAAATTATGAGAGTGCTGACAAAAATGACTTACAAGTGGTCCTCGCATTTACAACCCCTGCAGTGTTCCTGTGATAAAATTCAAGCTCTCGGCAACTTCTATGGATTTGTGAGGGTTGCAATGTCACAGAGTCACACGATTGCCCTTTGTAACCTTCCCAGCTGATTTCTGACAAGCAAAGTCAGTGGGGGATGCCGGATTTACTTGATGAACATATGCTTCACTTAATGACAATGGCAAAAAAGGTCATAAAATCAGGCATGACTCACTTAACTACCTCACTTAGTAATGGAATTTCTGGTCCCCATAGTGGTTGTAAGTTGAGGACTGCCTACATGTCATTTCATGAATGTGGGGAAAGTAATGTGGGATAAATAGTAGTATAATATGATGAAATTAGACTTATTTAGTCAGAAGTGGCATAGTTTCTTAGACAGTTTAAAGCTTTGCTGTTCCTATCCAAAAAGGATTATCTCATCTCTCATTAGTTCTTTTCTTGGCAGAGATGTATATGCCTGAGAGGAGAAATATTTTATCTTTCATTCGTCTGGACGACCAGCTGATGATAAACAATTAAAACTTTATGTAAGTCTGACATGAACAAATAGCATAAAATAGGTACATCATCAAAAATCTTCAACAGTTAATTCCAAGAGATCTCCTTCTTCCCCACTATAAACTCTATCCATCAATCAACTATTTCTCCTTTTCCCATTCTCTTTCTCTCTCCAAGTGTTAATGCCCCAATACATTTCTTGGAAATGGTAATCCAAGTTGGAGTATAAGGCATTGCCACCAATGGCCAATTCTGATGATTCATCCAGAAAGGTATTGTGATTGTTGGGATGGAATGCTGCTGAGGTCTCCAATTTTTTATCTCCTTTGGCAAAAATAATTCCACTGAAGGACCGAAGTTCGTTCTGACCTGAAAACCAATCTAAAGCCAGCAGAAATGGATATTTTTAAAAAATCAACTTTCTTTAAAATGCTTAAAAATCAGTCAATATTCACTTAAGCAGCTTGCCCAGATCCATTCTTTACAGCAGTGTTTTTCAATCTGAGCAACTTTAAGATGTGAACTTCATCTAGGAGAACTACACGAAGTCCTCAACTTATGATCAAAACAGAGGCCAACATTTCCATTGTTAAGCAAGACAGTTGTTAAGTGACTTGTGATCCATTTTACGACCTTTTTGCTACAGTTGTTAAGTGAATTGCTGCAGTTATTAAGTGAATCATGTGGTTGTTAAGTGATTCTGGCTTCCTCCATTGACTTTGCTTGCCAGAAGCCAGCTGAGAAGGTTACAAATGGTGATCCCATGATCTTGGGACAGCGTAACTGCCATAAAATACACACCAGCTTTCAAGCTTCTGAATTTTGATCACATGACCATGGAGATGCTACAATGATCATAAGTGTAAAAAACAGTCATAAGTCACTTTTTTCAGTGCCATTGGAACTTTGAATGGTCACTAAACGAAGAATGGAGGACTACCTGTACTGCTTTACAAAATGCTCTGTGTTAGATTCATTGTAATCTAAATTCAGTCCAATGAGTGGGGAACTGGGCTCACATATTGTGCTAGGCCACAAAATGGTTGGTTTAGTTCTGGCTTAGTGCAGTGTAACATTCAAACTCTATAGTTTAAAAAACTCATCGTTTATGTCCAGAGCAATTCAAAAACTAAAATACAGGAATGATTGGAACATTTTAGCAGTGCAAATTCAGAGGGGGCTTAAAATCATAAAGAAACATTCCAAATAAATGCATTCAGAAAGAAATCAAGGTGAAAAATAAGCCCTAAATTATTGGGAAATGTTCCATGATGGCCTTATAAATGAATCTAATACTCCTCTTTCTCATTTTCAAAATCTCTTGGATATTGAGAATATGTGATTTTG